CCCAGTAAAGCTATTAGGTGATAAATATATGATATTTACGTGTTTAACCCTTTTGAGATGAACGATATTTTGTTGGTTTATGTAGCTCCTGTTAGTGAATAATAAAAAATCAACTCGACACAAATGTCAAAAATATGCATTAAAATATTGTAGTCTAATCTGTAAATGATCACTCAGTAAAATAAGACTTAATAACCATATAATACTTAGTATGGTCCTACATGGTGATGTAGGACCTTACTTAGTATTATAAACTTGATTATCGAACTAGGTAATTCGCATAAATAAGCATAACTTCATCAACATTTCCTAACACCGCTGCTCACCTAACAAGTCGCTAATCAGATTTGTGTTACTCAATAATATTACCGTATAATAACGGTTCACTCACATTCGAGTTCCACTTATGTATGTTAAGATAACTGCTGTGTAGACAGTTAAATTACCAAAACCGCAAATCTATAATGTTATGTTGGTACTATCACGGTATATTTTGACGAAAAGGTAGGCTGTAGTGTACGGTAAGTGCACCCACGTTTCGTCAGTTATATTTTGCTTTATAGGCGATATGGAAGAAAAGGTTTGTAGTCAAAAGTACATATTATATACATACATAGCCTCACTCCTGTCTCCTATAGGGTTCTTTTTTTTTAAGGGGGGAAAATCATCGAATGACTGCTCCCGCGTGGGTGAGGCGGGAGGGAGTGTCAGACTCTTACTGACTAAAAACCACCCCGTTCCTTCTCCTGCACGTCGAGTCGGAGCCCCGGTTACCCGTAGGCAGAGACTATGGAACGCCAATTGTTACGATTCTTACATACCTCTTTCGCTTCCTCAACAGTCATCAGGCTTTTCATGTATGCTCCTCGGTTAAGGGTACTTTTAATTTAGCCCTTCTTTAATATATCGCCAATCTGGTCAATATATGTATGTCTATGTAGGCCGTCCTCTACCGACGGCGACGGCCCAGTCATATCCGATCTGTATTCTTTCATTTTTCTACTTTCATCCATCCTTTCTACAAGTCAAAACCAACGTAACATTCCCTTTTCAATCCTAGTCACTACATCATCTTTTAACCCACATCTTTTTCCAATAACACAATTTTTCACTCGATCACTCAATTTTATTCCATACGTACTTCTCAGGGCTCTCATTTCCACCACATTAAACCTGCGTTGTCAAGAGTCATCAATGCTATAGGGAATCACATATCCGAATGGAAACGGTGGAGTAGAATACATAGTGGACCACTCCAACTCTTGTCGTGGGTTTCGAAAGAGCCAGCTTAGGGACTAGGGACTGCACATTTGGGAGCTCATTGATAAACATCAACCTTTTATACTGAGATTTGCAACCTGTCTGGTAGCCGTAGACTCTATAGCCTTTTATGCAGAGAGGAGCATAATTCAATAGTGCATTTCTCCCGAAACTTTCTGCCTCGCACAGAAAAACTGTTGAATAGTCTGTCGTCAACTGTATTTCTGTACCAATACGACCATCGAACCTTCAAGATTATGGGCGTATCCCTTTTTAATAAAGTTGGCAACGCACCTGTGACTCCTCTGGTGTTGCGGGTGTCCATAAATTAATGGCGTTGATCGCTTACAATTCCATAAAAACAGTGAACTGCTACGGGCAGTAAACTGTATAATTAAGAAAGGTCAACGTTCTGAAATAGCTTATTGACAATGACCGGATGATATACCTACCTACCTAGACTACCTAGGTCGCCTAACGTTATGTAAGCAATTTCTCGAATTTACTGCAGTTTCGAAAGCTAGGCAAAGAGCGATCTAGACTGAGAACCTATAAAATATCTCTTTATATTTATTTATTTATAAAGGACGACATTTGAATTTCTTCTCGTAGACCTGTGGTAGGTTGGAATATGAGGTTATTTAATAGTTGTATGTGGTCATTGTTTTGTTTTCTCTACCTAAGTACATCCGAAGAACATTTATTCTTATGAATCTTAAATATGATGTAACACTAAGATCATTCTCAAACATGACACTGAACTTTACCTTATTAGCCAAAACCAGATGGCGTCATTTCATTACCAGCCAATTAGAACGACGCAATTTGTAACGGACTTGCGTCAGTAAGGGCCAACTGTCACGCTTTTCTAGCTCAGTGAAAGGGCTCCGGAACCTTCGATGGAGGTAGGGACCGAAGACAAGGTTTCGTTTCAGTTTGGTAAATGAGTTTTTAAAATAATAGTTAGGATAGGGTAGATATAGGTTGGTGAAAACAAAAATGACGTTGAATGTCATTTATTTATCTTAGCCAAAAGAAATCCCTTGGGTTTCTTTAAATTTTGGCGAGGATGGTGAATGTGGGCACTATTCTCTTTTCAGAACGAGGGTTTCTTATTATAATAGAGGTAGATACGGGTATACCTTACGTTTACATTCTTAAGAACATTTTAACTACATACCTACACTATAGAGAACAATTACCGTTACCAGCCCAGGACAGTCCACAGGATTATAGGTCACTGTGTATGGGCCCTCCGCTCCACAGGAAAGCGGTTTTTTTTCGGCACAAGGCGGTAAACGACCAGATGGGTCACCTGATGGTAAGCAATCGGCGCCGCCCATGGACACCTGGAACACCAAGGCGTTACAAGTGCGTTACCGGCCTTTTGGGAATTGGGAATTTGAGGATTGGGGAGACTGGGGAGAGGGGGGGTAATTGGTAACCTCACTCACACGACGAAACACAACGCAAGCGTTGCTTCACGCCGGTTTTCAGCGAGGTCGTGGAATCACTCCGGTCGAGCCGGCCCGAATGCCCGAAGGGTTTCAAATTACCTTATCAAATCTATACGTTTATTTACTCATCAGTCACCTACCAGTTATAATATTGTGTACATACACGTAATTTTTCAGGAGAATTCTCTTAAAAGAAGAACTTCATCACCTTCAAAACGCTCCTACTCATCAAAAACCAGGTCTCAAAAAAGAAAGTCTAGGTACAAACAATTCCTCCATTTAAACACTACAAGTCAGTCTACCCACATAAAGAACAAAGCATCACAAAAGCACTAATACTCGCCATTCAATTACTTTCAACAAGCTAGACCAATACCAATACCCTCACACAATTACCGCAAACCGGACTCGAACCGACGCCCCCACGGTTAGCACGAGCTGTATAAACAATTCTTACATAAAGGTTTGACCCAGAACTTGAGAGAAAGGTCTAGTACACCTCCCCCTTCCGCTCCCCCTCCTTTAGAGTGCAACAAAGCATTTTGCATCTCAATTTTATGACACTGCGCAGCAAGATCTAGTATGGTTATAGAGGTGTTATGACCATTTTAGGAATAAGTTATTATAGAATAAGATTGTTGCTGCCTATGTGCACTTACATGAGGTCTCGTGTTTGATATTCGATCCGAGAGGTTAAATTCTTCGTTTTTCAAATTCTCTTTGTCAGTTTGGAATCTAGATTCATAATGAACAGGTTCGCCCCAAGGTATAACAGTCGACTCAAGTTGAAAGAAACTACACTATTTGTATTTTTAAAAGAAATAAATTTGACAAATTTTTCAAAAAATCACACCAAAACGATATCAATCACAGTTTCCCAACTCACCAATCATGTGAAAGCTAACCTAGGACCAGCTTTCGCTTCATGGGCCGGTAGCCCTGCACGCGCCAGCTGCGTGTGCCGGTGCAGACGTCCGCCATCTTGGCCCTAACTGCAATTAGAAGGTATTTTACAGTAGAGTACCTATCTCAGTAACTGTTTGTGTTGTATGAAACGTTTTTTGGGTGAATAAATGAGTGAAAAGTATGAAACGGCTGAAATTAAAAACCTACTTCAATCTACAATCTCTGGATCGGTCTTTGTTTTTTTTTTTTTTTGAGGGTGGAAAATCATCGAGTGACTGCTCCCGCCTGGGTGAGGCGGGAGGGAGTGTCAGACTCTTACTGACTAAAAACCACCCCGTTCCTTCTCCTGCACGTCGAGCCGGAGCCCCGGTTACCCGTTAGGTTCTCCGCGACTCTGGATCGGTCTAGGTTTTTGACAGTGTAGCCTACTTCGTAACGAAGTCTACGTCGAACCAGCAATAAGCGATAGCATTATGACAACTTGGACGAAACTCACTACTGAGTGGAGCCCATTCAATGTCAATGGACGTCGTAAGTAGGTACAGAAGGAGACGACGGGATGAACTGGACGCCTATGAAAAGGATTGGCCACAGAAAGCTATAAGAAGAGACGGGTGGAAGGAGGGAAGGGCGGCCTTTCCCCTGCAGTGGGACGACTATGTCGACCATGGCTAGAAATAAAATAAAATAAATAATTATAAGATCTTATAATTATGCCTATTGCTGTAGCTTATTCAATTATTGACTTAGGATTTAAAATTTATGTATAGCAATGTCAATGCTATGCATGCATTAAGCCTCAAAGGTAACTAGAAACCTATCTTACCTGCCTATCTTGAACTGACTTGATATTTATTTATCTTAGTCAGTACTAGCACAATTGACATAATAAATATTAGACCTTTAAATAGAATTTTGTGTCAAACCCTTTATGAAATTATTTCTAATTCAAGAAATGAGTCATTATAAAAAATACATTCTTAAATAACTTAAAATTTAAAACAAATAACTTAAAAATAATCACATTCATACCCAGCTGGTACCGTTTCCCTTAAAAAGCTTGAAGACTTTGCTCTTGAGAACAATGCCATCTGTGGATTAATATATGAATTAATTACAAACAACTTCTCATTCAGATTGCCACCCCATCTATGAAATATTTAGATGACTACTCATAACTTGGCGAATTTTCATTTTCGCAAAAAATATTGTATTTAGTTAAAATACGTTTGACATAATTTAACTAATTATTTGTCATACAATTATCAACCTAGATACAAGAACATACAGAAACTTTTATTTATTTTAGTAGCAATCAAAAAAATATTTTGGCAAGGGAAAATGCAGCAGACTGGTTTTTTAGTATGGCCACACAAACCAGGTCAAGGAAGTGCAGCAGAAAAACTATTCGCCAATTTTTTGTTATTTTTATGAAATGCTATTAAGTGTATTGTTTCTTTATCATTTAGTTGAAATTGGAGTGAGATAATGTAGCGCGGACATCGTAATGATTGGAGGTAGTGAGAGTGGTTGTTGTAGGACAGAAGAAAACTAGGTGGTGTGACAGCTAAGGAATACCGCATAGAAGATTTTAGCTCAAAAATGGTTAATATTATTAAAATTCGATCATCTGATAACTCAGTATGACTGTTAATCGCTCAGAGGTACCGTTTACGTGGGTTACCTTCGCGATTTATGTTGGAAATAATCGTCATAACATTTGACCCAGTTACAGTGCCGTGTGCGTTGACCTATAGATGTGAATGCGGACTAAAGCACGATGTTATTTTTAGGATACAGCTTTGCAGATAATTAAATATTTATAGATGCCGTTGGTGATATCCAATTGTGTGATAAATTGCAGACGCAAGTATCCGTGACCTTTTACACTGATAACTGGTGAGTTTTCTTTGTTTTAATTATTTTTTTGAATTACGAATATTATCGCTCCACATTTAAATTGTTGCACTGATTGCGACTATTTATTCCAAATAGGTTTATTGTTTTATATTCTACTTATTAACAGCTGTAATAAATATATAACCAGCTTTGTTTTTATGCCAGTAACATACAAAATCAATTGATTTATAATTATGTTTTCATAATTTTATTTACACACATGTGCTAATGTTATAGTACCTATTGATTTTTAATTCATGAGCACAATAAGCAACATTTTTCCAAAGACAAAATACAAAATTATAAGAATCAATACATTTAACCTGAATACTCTTGCAGGTCCAACAGTTGTTCAAATAAACACTATGGATGGAAGTTTTATAACTCCTGGAAAAACAAAACAAAGTACAGAAAAACAGATAACGAAAACACAATTTAGACACAACTTCCTTTGAAGGGATCAATTTAATCATAGAATTTTTATTTATAAACATATTCCAATTTCCTGTTTGATTAAATTAAAATTAATATACCTATTGAAGAGACAGTTTCAGGTTGTGATTTCATAATATAATACACAACTGATGCGAACAAGGGAAATAAAAACAATAAATTCTAGTAGCAAGCATATCATCTTTGTAGCTAAATTGACAGGCTGTATATTGATTACCTGTGCTGAAAAGTTGCCGCCAAAAATGGATTCCAAATTCAAATTTCATTAGATTTTCTTATACTAACCTACAATGGTTACTTAATGTTATATTAATAAAAAGAAGACAATATGGTGTTTATTTGACTGAATCGCAATAAGGGTGGGGTTGGGCGCTACGCCCTAAGGCCGTGGTGACACTCGGCAGTGATGAAGAAACAAAATGTTCGCACTCTATCATTGATTGTGTGCACATTTACTTATTTACTGGTTGGTGCCGCTGTGTTTGACGCACTAGAGTCTACTACTGAGAGGAACCGATTTGAAGTTTTGCAAGGTTGGTAACTCCTGTTGTTATTTTTATTTTATTTTGTTATATTGCCAATTAATATGTTTATATATTGTACTGATAATCCCCAAAACATTGGAAATATAATGGATTAGTGGAGAGTGGTCACCGGTGACCGCTATTATTTTAATATTACATTATTAGACAGCTGTAATAGAGGTACAGTAGCCAGCAAATAAACTAACTCCAATCTATCAAATAATATTCATTTAATTTTCAACTTTAAATCAATAAAATAAAGTTGAAGATGTCATAGAGATATTTGGTAGGAAAGGATAGACTGACCTGCTGGCCACTATAATATTATTAGAAACTCATATAAAATAAACATTGTATTAAAACTGAGATATACTTATGGCACTATAGGTAACTAAAATATTAAAATTAAATAAAATAAAACTAAAAATAAATATTTACAGAGAGCATCAAAATATTTGTCCGCATAAAACATAATACAAAATCGATTGAGATTACCAATTAGAATCTCACAAAACTTAAATTTTTTTGCAGGTTTTCCTAGTTATCTGTACCTATTGCATTAGTTTAATATATTTCACTTCTGTAACCGGAAACACTTCTTTAAGCAAATATGCCAAGACCCACAATATTTTAAATTGATTAAAATAATGAGATATAAAGTGCCATCTAAGAAATTCCCCTTGCCCTTCTTCTCTCCTACCAATTTTAAATTTTGCTGTGCCCGACAGGCGACAGGGTCCATAATTGTTACTATTGTATTTTCTAACCCCCTGTATGTATGTGTACATTATGGATGCAATAAATACTTGATATAATGGGCAGAGAGTTCTCTTAGGGATAAACTAAATAAATCTAATTTGAGTCATCTGTTTTTGAGAGATTCTTATTAACATTGGAAATAAGGTCTATAGTGTAGTTAGGGGAGAGTGGTCACCGGTGACTGCTTGGGGATATATGGGTTAAACTTTATGTAGGTAAATACTTAACTTAATAATTAAAAAAACATGTTGTTTTACTTACGCACTGAATATTCACATGTAAACTATTTGTTTAAATTAACATTTTCAAGAAGCCATATAGAACTTTTACTCAGGTTCATTAATGTTTGCGTTTAGTTACCATGGCAACCAATCAGTAGGCTCCAATTATATAGTTAAATGTTGGCAACACATGGGGGTTATTATTTAAAAAGTTATGATCAATTCATTATGATCTAACTAGTCAGTATTTGACATAAACATAAACACAGGTTGCATAAATCTAGTTCAAGCAAATCGCGACAAATATTAGTATTAGTCCTCTTATATTTCTGTCCATAGTTTTAAGCATAATAATGTATTATTATATAATTAACAGTCTATCATAATTTAACTTTAATATTGTTATTGAAAAAACCAAATTGTAAAGGGAGTATATACAAATAAATTATTCTATTTCTTATTTTTAGTTAAAATTTTTAATTCAAAGCATCAATCGAAGTCAGTTCCACATCATGGCTAGTCTGCATTAACCCATAAATCCCCAAGCGGTCACTGGTGACCGCTTTCCACTAATATTACATTACATTATAGACCTTATTTCTAATGTTTAGAGAATACTTTTGTATGACCAAATTTAGGGGATGGATATCAACGGGCTAAATATAAAATGTTTCTATTTTACATTTATTTTTCTACCTGGTCACAATTACAAACAAAAAAAAAACTATAGGTCCCTAACACTTGTATGATTAAAGTCATGTCACTGAAATATTCATTAAGTAGCTATTTCAAAGTATTGGACTTTGTTATACTAATAAAAGAGGTTGTTTGCCGGGGTCTGTCCTTGGGTGCATTTCCATAGTGCATACAGGATAGTCGCCGGTTTGTGTCTCCATTACATTTAGATAAAAGTTGTCTAAAGGGCCTCTGCGCAGTTAGTTTCTAACTAACTAGAGCTAAGATAAATAAAAACTAAAGTACAATATAAGTTACAATTAAAATGAACATAAGAAATATAGAAAAATGAAGAAAAACTAACTTGTACATCAAAAAATGATCCTCAATGAAGATAATAAGTTTATGTTATGTTCATACATAGATTAGTTTACTTTTATTACTTCGGCCGTATTTCCGAACCCATACGACTTTCAAACCTTCAAGAAAAGAGTGTATTCCTTTTTAAAAGGCCGGCAACGCACCTGTGTCTCCTCTGGTATGGCCCGTGGTCCATGGGCGGCGCTGATCGCTTACCATCATGTGAACTGTTTGCTCGTTTGCCTCCGATTCCATTAATAAAATTCAATCTTTATATTATTGATTAGGTATATATTTTTAGTTTTTAATTTTACTGTTTTCATATTTGCCTTGTAGCCAAAAATATTTATTGTAGGTATTGAATTAATCAAACAACACAACACCATTCTATATCCCATGCTTCTGATAAAACACTAACCCTATCGTTCACCCACAGCTATCGAAGGCATGATCATCAGGAAGTACAATATAACTGAGGAAGACTTCCGTGTGATGGAGACAGTGGTCCTCAAGTCGGAGCCACATAAGGCTGGACAGCAGTGGAAGTTCACCGGAGCATTCTACTACGCTACTACCGTACTTACTACTATTGGTAAGTAGGCATATTTTTTACTAATTAGGTACTCAATTAATTATTACGTTTTCAGCTTACTCGCTTAACTGTTGAACGAGGAACGCGACTGGTTTCAAGCCACACTAGAGGTTGATATTAGCATAGCAGCAGCGCGACAGTCGGCGCGTTGCGCGGAATGCTGCTCATGAATATGAGCCCCTAGCGTGGCTTGAAACTATTCGAGATCCTCGTCAAACAGTTACGTGAGTAGGCCGAAAACATAATAATTTTAGTATGTCTTACGAAAATTTATGTCTTATTTTATAGGCTCACCCCCTATTACGTGGGACTCATGACATAAATAGTGAAAAGTGGGTGTTACATTGTACAGTGGCAATGTGCACCTCTGCCTACCCCTTTGGGGATAAAAGGCGTTATGTTATGTGTGTTATGACTTACGAAAGTTTTAATGTACTTAAATAAGGTACACGGAGTCATCATCATAACTATAATGTGTTCTTCTTACCTGACTGCAATAAATGGATTATAATTCACCATTTTTCTTTGCTGAAATGAATCACGCAAGATAGTCACTTAAGGGGCCAGTACAGTACAGACCCGCGCCAGGCCCCGTCCTGCACATGATAAACTGGTCACATTTCAATGCATACTTGGGGCATGAATTGTATCTATGTGTAGGTACCATATTAATAAACTAACAATAATCTGTACTAGTCACTTGGTTTTTCGTGTAAAATAAAGATTTTCTTTGTTTCTACATTATTTATTTATGTGTGTTTATAACTGCCTCGTTGGCCGAGTGGTCACAAGTGCGACTGCCGGGCAAGGGGTCTCGGGTTCGATTCCCGGGTCGAGCAAAGTATTACTCAGTTTTAAAAGAAAATCCTAGTATTGGCACGGAGTCTGGAATTGTGCCCGGTATATATCAATAGGCTCACCCCCTATTACATGGGACTCATATCATAAATAATGAAAAGTGGGTGTTACATTGTACAGTGGCATTAAGTGCCGTAATGTGCCCCTCTGCCTATTCCTTCGGGGGTTAAAGGCGTGAAGTTATGTTATGTTATTCTTATAGGTATAACATTGTAAAGAAATCAACGCATTTTAAATTCAACGCAGAAAAAGCCACAGCCGTAAAGCCTGTTGATTATAAAATAGTTCACTCTCATGAGGAAGAACCCGTCTGTGGTTCGAAACTAGTAGAGCTTTTTTCAGTATATTTACGTAACCCGCGTTTTTACTTAATTTAGTATGTCTCACGATAGTTATTATAAAAACATAGTTCTCTCTTTATGATTTACTAGCTTATACCCGCGGCTTCGCTCGCGTCACAAAAGGATAAAAAACCAATGTGACATATACCAACACACACAGCGCCATCTATACCAATACTTTTGTTTTCCCTCGGGAATATCAAAATCTTCCGGGATAAAAAGTACCCTATTATTTAATCCGGACTTCTAACTATACATCTTCAAAAATTCAATAGTTTAGCAGTTATGGCGTGAAAGCGGAACAAACAAACAAACAAACAAACTCACTTTCCGATTTATAATATTAAGTAATGAAATGATGATTGTTTATAAAATAATTCTCTGCGTATCCCTTCGGAGGTAAAAGGCGGGGGTATTACGTATGTATGCATGTTGAAAGCCCTATCCATCCTGTACTATTACAATAATTGATTGTATTCTTCAACAGGCTATGGGCACTCAACACCAGCAACGATCGGTGGCAAGCTGTTCACGATGTTCTATGCTATAGTTGGCATACCGTTGGGCCTCATCATGTTCCAGAGTATTGGTGAAAGGGTTAATAGACTTAGTAGGTAAGTTGTAGCAGATATGACCTAAGATTTTTTTTGTATTTTAACTAGTGATCCGCCCCGGCTTCGCACGGGTGCAATATGCATGTATTATACGTACAAACCTTCTCTATCTATTTAAAAAAAACTGCATTAAAATTCATTGCATAGTTTTAAAGATCTAAGCATACATAGGGACAGACAGACGGCGAATAGCGACTTTGTTTTATACTATGTAGTGATTAGGAACTCTGTTTCATCTGTTTAATTACGTGGAGGAAAATAATACGGTAGTTTCCTAAATTTTATTTTAATGTCCGTCTGGTAGATTTATTTTAAATCATTAGACACGTATTTTTTCTTACAAAATTAAATACTTTCGACGATATATTGATTTAAAATATCGTTTGACGTCACGATTTATTATATTTTATAGGGTAGCGTGACGTAAAGACTTAAAGACCTCCCACTCCTAAACTCAACTCCGTTTTATCTAAGTATCGTTTTCTTATACCTACGACAAAATAAAAAAATACGTGTCTAATATTTTTTCATTATCTAACTGACGGACTAATTACATTTTTAATTTTCATACACTGTACTACCCTATTATATTGAAGTAGTGAAGTGAGGCTTTGGCTCTTTAGGCTGAAATAAAATATGTGCTCATAATTAGAGGTGTAAAGTTGGTCATATAGTGCCCAGATTGGCGATATATTAAAGAAGGGCCAAATTAAAAGTACTTTTAACCGACAAGCATGCATGAAAAGATTGATGACTGTTGATGAAGCGAAAGAGTTATGTAGGAATCGTAGTAATTGGCGTTTTATAGTCTCTGCTCTGCCTACCCCCATGTGAGACAGGCGTGAAGTTATGTATGTATGTAAAGTTGGTGTAACTTAGACCTATCAGCGTTTTCCGATTTTCTTTTTTACTGAAACTCGTGTTTTTGTGTTTTTTTTTTCTTCTAATGATAAGAAAAATAAACAAATAAGTACTTAATAATCTTGTAAGTCCTTAAAAAATCTTATTTAAAACCTCCTTTCTCTAAATTCCAGCGTAATAATAAAATCAATAAAGGGCGCTTTGAACTGCAAGCAGACGAATGCATCAGAAGTGGACCTGATCTGTGTGGTGACCACACTGTCGTCACTCACTATAGCTGGTGGTGCTGCAGCGTTCTCCAAGTTTGAAGGATGGAGCTACTTCGATAGTGTTTACTATTGTTTTATTACTTTAACTACCATTGGTAAGTGGTTTTAACTCGTCGAGTACCGTCATTATAGACACAATTATAGAACAATAGGTTGCGGTCACCGGTGACCGCTTGGTGTTTGACAGTTTAAAGTGTAATTTGAGAATCAATTAGACGTTTGTTAAAGTTTGTAACGGTAAAATGGGATGAATAGGGTTTAAGATCTCTTCCTCACTAGAGATCACACCCCTCGATCCCTATTCACTCCTTTTTATGGTATTGACTATACTCGGAATTTTAATTCGATTCCAGATTTGACAATTTCAGTGTTGCCACGTGTAGTAAATGCCACAAGTACTAAATAGTGACGTTGTGAAATTACTCGATATGGAAATGAAATATTTCCGGATCGATTCCTCTCGCTTATCATTTTACTCTCGTAAACTAAGTATATCAGGAAGTTAAATATTTCTGAACCGATAATTTAGTTTTGACGATTAATTAACAATCTGAGACTTTTCTTTTATAATTGTGTTGAAATAAATAAAATAATGTGATCATGAAGGAACATGAGAAATAAAACAGATAGATGTATTATGGTAATAATTTATTTTATAAATTGTCGCCGACTTCGCTATCGCTATCGCTGTCATTTTCTGTAACATTTATTATAAATGTATCTGTGATATTGTCAATTAACATATCTACCCTATCTGATTGTTTATCGATTTTTGTGTTCATCACTACCTACACTATTAAATGTGGTATCATTATTTCACAAAATGACAGTAGCTAATGTCAAATCTGTAATCGAATTAAAATTCTGATTATAAGCGTTATCTGCGTAAAGACTAAAGCTTTAGGTTAATAAAAGCTACATCCATTAAGGTTTTTTGATATTTGATAGACCGACGTTTGACCACTATCTCGCCTGGTAGTAAGCGATGATGCGGTCTACGATGGAAGTTAATTTCAGTGTTCTTGCATTTCGAGTTTCAATTTTTTGTAGAAAGTTGTAGAGGTATTATAAGTTTGGTATTAAAAAATCAAGTAGTTATGTATTCGCTATTTCGATTACCAAGCAAAAGTTTTCAACGTAGATTCTGGTGTTGGACAAATAATTACTTTAATTTTTAAGAATATTTTAATTTTTTCCCCTTTTTACACGGGGCTTTAAACATTGCATCGCTAATTAATAATGTTTATGATGATCAATGAAAAAGCGTATCCCGTACTTACTCAACCATTTGCCAAACGAAGTCAGGAAGAGAAAAATAAATATATTTAAGACTTAATAAAAAAAATATCTGTTTAGCACACTACCATAACTACATGTATTTACAATTAATCATAACCATTATTATAATAAATAGTACCTAATTTAAATATTATAGACGATCCAACAGTCAAACTATATATAGTTTTGTTGGACATGGCGTTAGATTGTAAGGCATATCATGCATTATTAATAAATAATAATAAATAAATAAAAAATAATATTAAGTTTCTAATAAATTTTCTACCTCAACATCCAAGTAATGAACACCAAAATTATCTCAAAAAATCTACAAAACAACCTTCAACCCTCAGGTTTCGGAGACATGGTAGCTCTACAAAAGGACAACGCCTTGAACAAGAAGCCATCATACGTGATGTTTGCCCTGATCTTCATACTGTTCGGGCTGGCTATAGTGGCTGCCTGCCTCAACTTGCTGGTGCTACGGTTCGTCACCATGAACACTGAGGATGAGAAGAGAGATCAGGCGCAGGCTGAACAGGTATTTAACTTGAGATTTAACGAGGAATAGCGATAAAATAATATTGTTTCTGCCTCGTTGGCCGAGTGGTTGCAAGTGTGACTGCTGGGCAAGGAGTCTCGGGTTCGATTCCGTGTCGGGCAAAGTATTACTTGCTTTTTTTTCAATAATCTCAGTAGTAGCACGGAGTCCCAAAAGGCCGGTAACGCACTTGTAACGCCCGTGGTGAATATATACAATGTAACACCCCCTTTTCATTATTTATATTATGAGGCCCATGTAATAGGGGATGAGCCTTTTGCCATATACCGTAGCAGTGAGACTAGAAGGCGACGTGATCACGGCGGACGGCGCCGTGCTACGGGGAGTTTCGCGCGGCACACGCCTACCTGCTGACCCCAGGCAGATTACTGCTGGTATGTAGAAATTATATTTTTATGTATTTTTTCACCTGGGTATTTACCCAGGTGATAACATATATGTTTTATTGGTCATGTGATGAGTATGGCATGATTAAAATAAAGACAACAAACAAATGCAACATAATTTGTAATAACTATATTAACATAAAAACATGATGTTTCCAGGAGATACCTCGCTAGTGCCGCTGTATGTAGATGAGGAGTACGCGCCCAGCGTCTGCAGTTGTTCCTGTAATTGCTTCGGACCAAACAAGTAAGTATACTACACATTACAATTCATAATACTTTGGAAATAGCTCTTCGCAAATGTGTAATAATTGAACTATATTACTTTTTACAGATCAATACCATATCGCGACCCGTTATCGCCGGTACCACCAACCAACATCAGACAAATCAAATCAAAGAACTATCGCGAACTCGGTAGCATACCGCGCTACATTGAGAAATCATCATCGAAGAACCGGTCGCAGTCTCTACGACTAAACTCGGCCTCAGGCTACTTATACATGAACGCAAAAACCAATGACTTCCAACTAGAACCTGAGGATTTCAGAGAAATGGTCACTAAGAGACGAGAACAGCTCCGGAGAGGCATGATGATGTATGAAATGAGGTGTAATAACAACGAACAGTACCTACATCCCTACAGACATAGTCTGAGCACGCGGCTAGAGACCAGCCCTCACAGTTCCTCGCTCTACTCCATGAACATGAGGTCAGAAAACCGCAGCAACGACCCTCTAGTAGACGACTACGACTCGGAAAAGTCCAGCTACGCGAAAAAGAAACTCATGAAGAACATAGCTAGGAACACCAGTAACAAACGAGTAGAAAACTACTTCTACGACGACGCTGTACTGCATTTCGATGACGAATACGCCTTCGACGGCTCAATACTCTTCGCTAAGAGGAGAAAATCTATAGACAGGAACTGGGAGGACTATACATGTGAAATGCCGCGAACCCACGGACCGGATCAAGTGTCGAACGACGGTAGCTACGGGTACTACCTGCCCGACGATGAGGAGCAGGACCAGTACTTCGTGAACGATACCCTCACGTTCCAACTGCCCCCCCACCGGGCCAGCATATAGTGAAGTGTTGTGATGTGCCAACAAGACTAGTGCCAAGGTAGGTTAGTGTTAGTCTACTAAATAAATGGGCCAATTAAGTAAATAAACGATTAATTAATAGTAATTTTACAATTTTCGCGGTAGCATCCGAGTTTGACAGTTTTAGCTTTTACACATAGTCTATAGATGTCGCGTTTTTTATTATAATTCTATGATATGAGCTTGGCTTCCTTGTAGATATTGTAATATAGTAATATAGGCTTGTCGTGCGGAGCGCTTGGGCGTTTTATTGTGCACTACGTCGGTGTAACTTGTTTGGGAATATTGTATTGAGAATTCTGAGCCCAGGATTGGTGTAGTATGTTTGAAATATTTGTAGAATTCCTATGTCATAAGAATAGGACAGAGTTTCTCAACATGCTTCAGTAGTGAACCTGCAAAATCCAAGTCATGTTTCATTTTTTTTTTCGCGAACCCATGTTGGGAAACTCTGAACTAAAATATAGTAATGTTCATTCCCTTGTCAGTATAAAAAAACAAGACTGCAATAGAGATGAATGTTCGAATTACTGACCAATCATGTAACTTTGGTAAATGATGTAAGTGATAAATTAATCAGTATTATTATAACTTAGATATTTGTGACTTAGGCTCGTGTGAATGACAGAAATTGTCAAAATTTTACTCTAATACATTTCATTTATATCAACCATCCATTGTAAAATCATTTAAAATGTAGGTGTTTTAAACCGATAAAGTTTAGTTAGACTACAGGCGTAATGAGGCCTCCCCCATTACTTATATAATAGTATTTAAGACTCAAAAACATCTGTCCTGTGGTCTAGCCATCTTATTCGGTCTATTTTAAACGACATGGCAATGAATAACCGACGTAGTGCAAGCGAAATTAAAGTTTATTTTCCTTTTTCGGAATGAATTAGAAGTAAAACTGTTGCGAGATACAAATACAATGAAAATTATCGAGCTTATTGATACGAACTCGCTACAGAACCGGTGTATGTACTAGATAGGCTGTTAAATGTCCTATTTTGGGAAAAAGTGCTGAAAATGGTCACATAATTCCACAAATCAGTCACAAAATCGATAAAACATTTACCATGAACTTTTTATGGTAAACAATTTCAGACATTTTATAAACTGACCAACTATCTGCGTACCAAAAAGGTGGAACTAAATCATCACAACCATCTTACTCAACTATTTTAGTTACTTGATACGTTTCAAGCCACAACAGGGGCTCATAATCATGAGCAGCATGCGCTATGAAACATGGTAATAGACAGCATAGGCTTACCACTTGCGCATCCTACACTTTTTGCGCAAATTATTAAATATATATTTGGTTAAATAATAGTTTGCGCAAGTAAATATGACTAATAATCGAATCAATAGATAAAATTGTTAAATTTCAATGTTTTATTGCAATATAAATGAAAATGTTTCCAAAATAGGACATATTGCAGCCATTACATTAGCATATATTTTGCAACCATGCTCCCAGACCACATTTTATGACAAAATGGTCCCAAAATGCTATAGTTAATCAACTACTACGTATTATTAAAAATATTCTAGTCAAATGTTTAATTTTAAGTGTTTTTTTCCATGACGATTCCCAGTCAATAATTTATATATTAAAATATTTATTGTAATATGAAATTCCGAATTTCTATATCGCGCCAATGTTTTAAATTATAATTATTATGTATATTCCAATATTTATATATATTCCAGGAATTTATTATCTATGCTGTTAAGTCGCTATAAGCCAAAATGATTGATTTTTCAAATGAGATTTTAATCTTTTTAAAAGACAAGATTTATCGTTGAAAACTATAATGCCAAAAATTATCAATTTTTTATTCCAATGTTTTACTAAAGGAGAAATGTTTTATATTTATTCGAAATTAATGTAATCTATCTTAAAGATTCAGTTACTGTATCTATTTGGCAGATTTTATGCAAAAGTATGGTTTTAAAAATCATTAAAAATAATAAAATTGTTATTTGATTTATCACAAAGTGAAAAGGCGCCATTATAAAGATGTTATTGTGATTTTGTCATAATAAAAATATATTAAAATATGTATAAAAACTGTTGAAACAGATAAAACAATAAATACTCAAAAGTATTAATCATGCGCAATTGGCAAATGCGCAAATGGCAATAGGCTCACCCCCTAATACACGGGATTCGTAACATAAATAGTGAAAAGTGGGTGTTACATTGTACAGTGGCATTAAGTGCCGTAATGCGCACCTCTGCCTACCCCTTAGGGGATAAATGGCGTGATGTTATGTTGTTATTATTCACCCCCTATGAAATGGGACTCAAAACATAAATTGTATATTATATAAACCTGTCTAGCCCTTTATGGATTAGAATGCGTAATATTATGTTAAATCTTAACAAAAATACAAAACTATCATGTTTTGAAATACATTCCAGAATAATTTTGTTTCTTTTTACCCGACCATACAGAGGGTAATCTGTTTATAATCTTTTATTTGTAAAAAAGCTCTGAAATATGTCAGTATTAATCAGCTCGCGCGGTGCAAGAAGCCATTGTTTTTAAATTTACTTAAAGTTAATAATACTGAACTGAAATGAAAGTGAGTTATATAAAATTTGTAACATATTCTAGTCGAAAATGTGACAACTGTATGTTAAGCGTCTAGTCAAACTAATTTATAATAGTAATTTTAATTTAATAGTTTTATTGTCACTTAGACTGGGTACGAATTATTGGCATTGTATTAAATACTAAAACAATAAATTTATTTGTGACTTTGCCCTAGGCTAGGAAACGCAATAAGATCTAACAAACAAACAAACACTATAACATTATGTTAGTTGCAGTACTTTTATTATATTCCCCACTACAGTAAAAGCAAGTAAAACAATACAGAAGTGACTATCATCCTTTTATTTTTGAAGATGTAACAAAAAACGCACGATGAAAACTATCAAGTTTTACAATGCTAATAATTCGTATTCAATCTATGATGACTGAACTTATCACGAACCTAACTGTTCAATATAATCTCTACTTATTTCAAGCAGAACACAATAAGGCACTTATCAACAACATAATTGAAGATAAACATGTATTTCTGTCGATCAGTGAAGCTTGCATGTTCCAATGCGTAAATTCGTATGGAGAAGAACAAGCAAGAAACTCCACAACACATTATTCATAATTAATTCAGTACTGTCTACCCCTTTGAACAGATAAGTTGGTGAAATGATACCATATATATGTGTGTGAATGATTCGTGAGTTTTTTTAATCGACTGATTATTTACTATTATTAATTTATTTAAGCTTACTCTTAGATGCCAAAAACTCTTTTTTTTTGTTAACCCTTTAACTAGTTTTAGTATACATCAGTATTTTATTTGCTGTGATAATTTCGTCTAGTATTATTATTGTAATCATAATAATTAAATTATTGTCTTCAAAAGATCAAACAGTATTATTTTAAAAAGACAATGAAATAAATTTCAAAAAGATAAATCATGTATTTAAGTGTTTAGGTCGTTCCAAACGATTTGTTTCCAATTTAAAATGATGTCATGTATGTTAAAAATCAACTGAAATAATATGTATATAGTAAAAATAATTATGTCGACTTGTTTTAGATTTTAAGCGAAACTATCTATGATATTAAATAACATGACTGTGCTAAATTTAATGTCAAACGTACTCGAAACATTAGATTTTAGTTCTGATTTTAATTTTCGCTCTGGTAGAGGCGCTAGTGTTGAATTTGGTATTTTGATCCCTTTACTATTGGTCAATGGTCAAATCCTTTGAAAGACTAGGTGATTGTACCTAGAGGACTTTGTTGCTCACTAGCGCCAATTGATAGTTTCAAAATGACCTTTTTTGATTATGTTTTAGTAACTACATTATTTTTGCTTTATTGGCATTTAATTATTTAATGATTTTATTATTTTCTAGTTCAGTTTTTTTACTATTTTTACCAAAATGACTGATTAATCGTTGTTATTTTCAATAACATTGTGTCATTAACAATGTTCCGCTAATTTTATTTACTCTTGACTGTTTTTAAAGGTATTTTAGATTCAAACTTCCATTATTTTTATCGTTCTGTAAATCAAAATATAGATTTCAGCCAGTACAGACCAGATACAATCGCAAAATTTTGCAGAAACTGACAACTTATTTTATTTCTCTTTCGGATATACCTACCTTTTTATATAAGGCCAAAATGATTATACTGAAAAATGTTTCATGTGCGGTTGTTTGTAAACTATAATTATAAACTAATGTATTATATAAACTGTTAAATGGGATACGTGAGGAGTTCTAGTTAATACGCGGTCTGAACTAACTGTAATTTTAAAATGGTGAAAAATTGTAACATAAAGTCGGATTTCAATAAAAAATACATACGAATTATTGTTGTTTTTTTGTTTTCTTGGTAATTGGGATGATGACAGGGTATGAAAATTAAAAATGTGATTCGTCCGTAAGTTAGGTAATAAAAAAATATTAGACACGTATTTTTTATATTTTGTCGTATAATAAAACAATATTTAGATAAAAAGCATCAAAATTTAGGAGTGGGGGCTAAAACGTCATTTCTACGTATAAAATGTACATAAAAGTGACGTCACGCGACATTTCAAATCAATACATCGTCGAAAGTATTCATTTCTGTAAGAAAATAAAAAATACGCGTCAAATAATCAAAAATAATCTACTAGAGTACTAGACGAATAAAAATTAGGCATCTACCCTACTGTCCACGTTGCATCATTATTTTTGTCCAATGCGTGTATCCTTCATAAATGACAACAATAAATGCATATAAATGACAAATGCTTACTACTATCTTGCTTAGAAACAGCTTGTAAGTGTGGGAGAGCCATGTTGCGGCACAAATAGGTCGGGCTCGGGACCGGTCTGATACCACGGCCTCACAAAAAACCGACGTGAAACAACGCTTGCGTTGTGTTTCGTCGTGTGAGTGAGCTTACCAGAGGCACAATTAGCGGGGTAATTCCCCCTCCCTTTCCCCAATCTCCCCAATCCTCAAATTCCTAATCCCCCAAAAGGCCGAACGCACTTGTAATGCCTCTGGTGTTCCAGGGCGACACCGATTGCTCACCAGCAGGTGATCCGTATGCTCGTTACATAAAAAAATAAACAAAAATTGACCACCAATCGTTTTTGACGAATGCATGCATTTGTCAAATGACGCAACGTGGACAGTAGGCCCTAAACACTTTATAAAGGTAACCGTGTGATTAGCCATGGTGATGTCAAATTAGAATAGATTAAACATCACCCTCATTCTTCAGTCTCTTAATAACCCACTAGTTCAGAAACTGGGCAGGAACGCTCGTTCATAAACGTGAAAGTGACTAACAATATTAATTTATATGGAACACTGCCATCTATGTTAAATATCTAGTAACTCCAGGAATATAACTCACCCTTAATCACAAAGGGTTTTGTTTAACACTGCGGTGCGTTGTTTATTGTTTGACCGCTAGATGGCTTTGTGCTTACTTCGTTAGTCAAGTGACTGCGAGCGTGACTGCCGTGTCTCGGTTTTGATGCCCAGGTTTCGATTGAAATTAGTATTTCTTTCTGTACTTGAAAATTCTCGTACTAGCACGAAATCTGGAATTGTACCCGGTGTACGGTTACTCCCTTTGATTTTGTGTTGGTATTGGTATGTTTTGGCGTTGCTTCGTGTCCCTTAGTTTTGTATTTACAAAATACCTCTTTGGCTGAGTAAACGGGTCCTGGGTACTATTTATTAGCACCACAGCTTCTAAATAAAAAAAAATAAGTAGAAGCCTAATGGCCGTACTCGAAACCGACAGGAAGAGATATAGCTTCCGACAAAGTAGCTACTTATGATTTTCGATTAATACAAAAATCCAATTAATACACCATTTGTGTGTAAGTTAACCATAAATTGAATGTGATATGTGTGTTTGATTGTTTTTATAGTATCTAATATCCTATACTGCCTCGTTGGCCGAGTGGTCGCAAGTGCGACTGCCGGGCAAGGGGTTCGATTGCAGGGTCGGGCAAAGTATAACTGGGTTATTTAAAAAAACCTCAGTACTACTGAGGTTCTTCACAGAGTCTGGAATTGCGCCCGGTATATGGCAATAGGCTCACCTCCTATTACATGGACTCATAATATAAATATAAAAAGTGGGTGTTACATTGTAATTGTATAGTAGCATTAAGTGCCGTAATGTGCACCTCAATAACCTATACTCAACACAGGAAAAGACTCTTTTTTTTGTGAGGCGAACATCATCCAATGACTTCTCCCACCTGGGTGAAGTGAGAGGAAGTGTCTTACTGACTAAAAACAACCCCGTTTCTACTCCTGCACTCCGAGGCGGAGCCCCGGCAACGCGTTAAGTCATCCGCGGCTCTGTATCGGGTCTGGTTCTGGTTGGGCGGCGAGTCACCCGTGGTCACCGTCCGCAGGCCCGTGCCTACGGTGGCCGGAGATCGTCCTGCAATCCCCGACACCCACTGAGTCTCACGCGACGGACGTGTGGGATCATATATTTCTTTAAAACACAAAATAAATTGTATCCCATTATTTATTTAAATTTACCATTATAACATCAAACAAATCAACCAAACCTTTAATTAAAAAACACAATTATACAAAAGGACCATTTATTTCATTCATCTACAAAAAAAAAGAAAGCTCGCACAAATAAATTCTCGAATAGCGGATTTAATAAATGCTTAAGTGGGAGCTGTTATTTCTTGAGACTGTCCAAAGAGAATGGAAGAAAAATGGGCGCCACCCCACCCCACCCGGGGTGGAAGGCTTTTGAAT